ATCAGCGGCACTTCTAAGGTTTTACGAATAACTGGTTCCATGTGTGCAAATATGCGTGCACACTCGATGACTCTTAGCTCTGCAATTATGCGATAAAGGATTGTACGTAATTCATTATCACGACACAACCCTAATTATTATCGTCAACTCGATTGCACCTCGTTAATTGCATGGAACCGAACAAAGCACCTGCTACTCTCTCAAATTACATCTTTCGGCGTACGTTGTTATGCATTAAATACGAATAACGCAACAATTTTATATGTTAAATTGAAATTAATACAAAGAACAAATAAAACATCTATCTTAGACTCTATTTATTTTTTCTTTTTGATGCATTTGATATTTATAGTTATAAAACATGTTTTTTATTAAAAGCACCAACATATGTCAAAAAGAAATCTAAAAATTAAATATAAAATGATTACATAAAATATAAACAGTTTTCACTCAGAAATAGATATGTAAAAATTGCGATATGAAATAGGTTATAAAATTTATACTAATCAATTAATTAACATAATCAACTTTACTACGCAGAGTGTTTTGTAAAATTTGAACAGTTTTTTCTTAGATTGAAACAGTTAATTTTGACCAACTGTCCTCTTCACATAATGTCTAGTCTTCAATTGCAAGAGACAAATACGTGTAGAAGAGCGTGCGGAAGCACCTCGTTTCAGTTCAGAAGACTAGAATAGAACGACAAACATTCGCGAAATAGTTAGGCACTTAGACAGGTCTCTTTAATAAGTGCACGCAACATGTGTATGATTCAATCTTAACCCCGGTCGGGAAAAAAGTCGCATTGTTCGCAATTATTAGCGACGAGTTATTCGCGTTTAAGAATGCGGTTAACTCGTGGATCATCGCTAAAATGTCACCTATCTGCGTTCGCGAACGAAGTACGTGATCATTTGACGAGGTGAAAAACAGATATATACGCTTGTGGTAATAGCATTAACAATTTGTGCCATGTAAAAAGCGATCGTCTCAACCGATAATAGGAACAAGAAGACATACCGTGATGTTAAAGCGCTAAATCAGTAAAAATAAAGATAGGTTCGCCATCCAATTTGCGATTTTACTAAAAACTGATAATGATAGTAGATAATACAAATCTAAATACTAACAATGAGAATATTTTGAAGGTATTTTGAAATTATTATATAAAAGTGTTCCGCAATATTTTAAAAATATTTTCAAAGAAGCAAAAAATATTCCAAGGAATATTCTAAGAATTCTTTGTCTCTAATTATTTTAGAAAAAAAATTAGATAAAATTATTCCAAAATATTCTTAAATAATATTAATGTTTGCATTTTTAGAAAGACCCTTTATATTTTCACTGTATTATAAAAGTAGTAACATATCAATCTGAGACTCTCAAGTAAATATTTCTTTTGTAAATAACATTCTGTTTTATATAGCTATAGACCAAAGAGTTAAATTCCGTGTCCATCTGACGGAACATCCATGACATGAATGAGAAATATAAATGATCTAAGAAACGCATTGTAATGTAATAATAATAAATTATCCGTCGTACGAGAAGAACAAGTAGCCAAGTCGTAAAGTAGCAAGGTAGTTGCATTCTTCTGGCACTCTTTGCAGCCGCCGTTCTCCATTAGTTGTTTTGTTTCTAACGAAATCATTATTTACTACAACTTCGCGGCGCTATAATTGGCGTCACACCGTTAAGATCATCTGCGATCTCTACGCATGGAACATTCACTCGCTCGATGATTAGAGGGCATTCGAGAAATTATATCCAGCGATTTTACACTTCCTTTGTAAAATAATATAAAAATCACTCAATTAAATAATAACTTTTTAAATCATTTTGAAATTTAAATATTAAAAATAGATATGATATATATGTAACGAAAAAACGATCACTAGTTTCGAAAACCGCAGCATAATTTTTATGATAAGAGACATCGATTGCATACAAAATGTACTCTCGTTAAATTTGTGTAAAAATACGAGCAACATTCTCCAATCTGTAGCAACCTCGAGGAACCGGAAGAAATATGCGCTTAATCCTACATTTTTTTACTTTCGTTTTGCATCTCATTGACCGA